AACCCAACCACACAACATCCCCCAGGCAGCCTTAACTAGCCAGGAGGGGCATGGATCTAAGAAGCAGGTGGCTGAACTCACAGTCATAAGGACCCTGTCCACTTCCTCAGGCCCAACAGGTTCAAACCATTCCCAGATAACCAGGCAGGACTATACCCCAGGCATCTCCATTGGACCTGTATCAATGCTGGCATCCAACTGGGAATAAATTTGAGCAATTTTGTCCAATAGATGCTCTGAAAATTCCTCCATGCAACCCTGTAGGTAAACTTCCAAGTCTTCCTTCCCCAGGAGGGTTTGTGTCACTTTAAACTAGGTGGCGGGGCAGCTATCAATGGACAAAATAAGGGTGGAGAAGTATTGTCATTTTGCTGCCTTTACCGCCACAAGGTAGGCCTTAATAGTGGCTCTCACCCATTATTTAGGAGTAAATCACGTTGATCTCAGTAGAACTTTTCATAAAACTGTTTAGTATTGGGCTAAAGAGACTATCTAAATTGTAACTGATGGCACAGTATAAAATAATTAGTATTTTATATATGTTTAACTGTATACATACCAAAGTTTTAAGGACAGTAGGCTCCAGAGCTTAGCTAGTGTATGTCTAGAATGCTGTAAACTGTTGCTAACTGCTTTGTCACAGTAATGTGATCATTTGAAGGCAGCTAGCAGCACCTAACCAACCAAGAAGGTATCTGTATTCTTGAGGAAACCCCAAACTTTGGCAAGTATGGGTGAAATCTTAAGGAAGGACATCCAATTCAGCATATATAAGGAGCACAACAACAGAATGAATTTATCTTAGTAACCTGGAAAAGGCCTTGACTTGATGGCTCCCCAAATGCTCTTGTTGCAAATGCTCTTTTGTGATCATTCTAATTACCATGTAAATCTCTTCATTACTTTTATAAGTGGACAGATTATTCTAGCACAACCTTAAAGTGAACAGCACCTCTTTAACACCCTGGAAGTGTAATCATCATAAAGGCATTTTTCATTGCACAGGGCACAGGAATTTCAGTGGAGCAGATTCCTTACATTATCCCAGAAATATTGTCTCCAAAACCAAGTGGTCTTAGATATCTCCCTTAAATCAAAAATAACTTCTTCAGTTGTGCAACTATCATTTAATAGTGGTGTCTGTTAACTCATGTGCCTGCCTTTTAAGACCTAGCCCTTAACCAGTTAAAACTCAGGACTCCCAGTATGGTACATTACTTTCTTAAACATCATTAATCTGTGGTCTTCTATTGTTTTTTCTCTTTTCTATTCTCAGTGTGTCCATTCTTATCTTCAATATTTCTCGGCAATGCTTTGTTTTGGTGAAGCAGTTCCGTCCAGGTAATCCTCTTCCTTACTTTAGCTTTTATTTTCCAACAAAGCAAAGCTCTTATGAGTTTAATATTAAAAAGCAGGTGGGCCTATGAATAGTTGTAGCATAATAATTTGTTCTGTATCCAGAGGAAGCTGCCATCGACCTGGTAAATTACTGTGCTCTGAGCTTCCTGATAGGATGTTACCATCCTGAGATCTTTCAGTTTCACTGTAAGTTTATACCTGTCAGTTAAGGTGAAAGATGTTTTCTGCTAAAAGGGAAATCCATCAGGTTCATCTCCTCCTGTTTCTCCAAGGCAGGGGAGACAGAGTCATGACAATTGGCTATAACTCACTAACTTGGCATCATTTTATGGATAGCCAATTAGCTTTATAAACTTCTATCTGAAGGGTTGTCCAATCCAAACCTAGTTTAAAGATCCCTAAAACAAGTGAACAACAGACTACATTTCTCATCAAGAATGAACCCCTGTCCATTTGTGAGACACCTGATCACAGTCTTCTCCATTATAGTGAGCTATATTTCTGTTAAAATTGTAGCAATTATTTATAAATTAGTAGCTATACAGGTAGTCCCCAGTTTAAGAACGAGTTTCATTCCCAAGGTCTGTCCTTAAGTCGAATTTGTATGTGAGCCGGAACAGTATTATTGTATAATACTGTATAAATAGTATTGTGTAATTAACTCAAACCGTTGTGTATTTAACTCGAATCATTGTGTATTTAACTCAAATTTTGCTACAGTAGGCTCCGTTCTTAACTATCAGTTGTCCTTAAACCAGACACTCCTAGCCCGGGGACTACCTGTATATACAAATCAGCATGTACACATGCCCTCTCTTGTACTCTTTTTCTGACAATAGAAGAGTGGTCACCTTACTGTCTTTCCTTTTATTTATGTTTTAAATTTCTATAAGTTTAATAAAAACTAACTTATGGAGTGGTAGAAGATATAAACAAAAGTAAACAAAATGATAATGCAAAATGAATTGAGTGATTTTTAAAAAGCACATGAAATCTCAGAAAACTAGGATTTACAATGGTTCAAAACAAACTTCCAAAGTTCTGATGGTGAGAAGCCTAGAAATAAGTCTCTTTCGCTTCTTTCAATTGGTAGTCAGTGTTATGAGAGAAACAGCCTTTTATATGCTATAGTACCAGCTGTTTAGCCTTTATGACCAAATAGTCTATCCCAATGATGTGCTAAACTGAATACAGCTCACCAGTAGCCAGGGGCCATGATAAGAAGTTCCCTAAGAATGTCTATTGCCAATGCCTTTTTCCCCATGTTTCTATGCCAACTTTTTCATTAAGCCCAGTCCTGTGCCTTAAGCAGTTCTATTTAATCTTAGACAATTACCAGGGTAATCTTTCCTTGTCACTTGGTATGACCTAGATGACCACTAGGTATGACCCAGCCTTACTGGGCTCAGAAGCTAAACAGGAAAAAAAGGACTGTAGAATCAACTGGGAAGTGAAAAACAAAGCAAACCAAAAGGCAATGGTAAATCACTTCTATATTGTTACCAAAAAAATTGCACACGTGTCTATATAGTCACCAGCCATCAAGCAACTTGAGAGGATCATTACCTTTTTGCCTCCATAAAAATTAAATTTATTTACTGAGTTTGAGTGTCATTTCATAAAGTCTGCACCCTGCATCACAAAGACTCCCTGTAACAGCAGTCAGCACAATAGTATAAACTGAATCAGTCAGATAGATAAAAATCTTGCTCTTTTTAATTATCTTTGATGGAATTATATATCTCTTAGTGTTTCCTTTAGGTACATTGAATCACAGCAGCTGTTTCTAGATTAATGCAAAAAGTCTGTTGCAAATTCCACTTGACAGTCTCTGCAAAGGACTAGTATACATTCAGAAGAGGTTTTTTCAAACAAACATACATGTATAACTCTAGTGACACAGCAACTGATTTGACAGGCTGAAAGACTCATCACTGTGCACATGGTACATCATGTACACACCAATATCCCAAAAAGTATCAGAGATTCCTGTGAAATAAATATGGTAATTGACAAACAGAAGTTGTTCCTGAACTAAAAATAATTCTGGAAGGAAAAAAATCAAACTCTGTAAGCCACTCAAATATGTCTTCTGTTCTGCTCAATGCAATTAACTGATTTCCATTCAGCTTCAAAATACTCAGAACATTAGATATTCCAGTGACTTCTAAGTGCAGCTATTACATCTTGCTGGTTGTGTACTCTATAAGGAATATAGATGTGCACACCTCATTAAATGAGTCAGATTCCTTCAGCCTTTTACAGCCTGAATAAATATATAAGAGATTAGTTGTTATTAAAGCCCTTCAAGTCTGCTGTGGCAATGCAATCCAGAAAGGGGAGGAGATAAATGTTTTACTTTATGTTTATTAGTGTAATAATCATATTTTCCATTTTTTATCTTCTCCCTGATTTAAAGGAACTGAGCCAAGTGCCCCATAACCTGAATAAAGCCTAATTATGTAATTAAAAGAATTGCTCTTCCTATATTTGTTTTAAGGATAGCAAAGAAAGCCACGAGACTGAGCCCACAGTATCTGCAGCATTTCAGGGAAATGCTTGTTTCAAAGTAGTGCTGAAACTGCCTCTGCCATGATGAGAATTGCGATGCTCTTATCTTCTGTTTTTTATGCATGGAGGGATGGGATAGCATCTGCTTGGGTGATCCAGTTTCTCTTTTCAGATAAATACAACCTGACCATGCGTGCTCAAAAAAATGACAAGTGATTGATTTTACTTTTTGCATTTTTTTTCAGCTGTCTATATGTGTGAAATGGAACAACAATGTCCTCAGTACTTTGAAAATAAAAGTGAAGAGAGTTGGTGCCCTCTGTCTGATTTTTTGCCTGCTTCAAAAGGAATCACATATGAACTCTGTGCTGGTATTGTAGACAAGCCAGAGCTCTCTTTGGAGGAAATTGCTTGCAAGGAAGTTACAGAAGAATGTGGCTATGACGTTCCTGTAACCAGCCTAAAAAGAATCACTTCATACAGGTTTGTAGATCAATGATTTTCAAAGACTAATCAGTAGGGAAGGTTTTGTAAACACTCTTCTGACATGTTGTAATCTGCTAGCTATTTTGACAGTCTATCTTTTTTTCCCTTGGGTTTGGGTGAGCTTCCTTGGTCCCCCCCCCCCCCCCCCCCCTCCCAGTCCCAGGTTCACAGCAAAAGCAACAGATTTTTCAAGCCGTAACAGACCACTGCAACTAGGCTACAGTCACAAATAGTTAGAATGACTGGCCTTTATCTTTGAGCATCTGGGAATTGGTGATAGTGACATCTGCTATAAAAGCTTGGAAGATGAAGGCAAGAAGAAAGAGAATTGTTCCTCTTTGAACTTTCTAATATCTAAGGCTTCAGGGTAATAAATCCCTTGTAAAGCACTTATAAATTAATTAAAATATTGCTATACTGCCATATTGTGATATAAAACCAAAAGACACAGTGATAAAAAAAACAGTTCAAATAATTATATCAATTAAATTATCATAATACTGAAACATATTACTCTGATCCCATTGCGGCAATCCCAAATCAAAGGCTCTCTGAAACAATACCATTTTTACAACTTTTCTAGGAACATCAGGGTGAAGGAGCAACATTGCCCTAAGTCCCCCTACCAACCTTTCAAAAGCAGGACGGGAGACCTTAAGCATCCTTTCATTGAATGAGCTAAGGAACAGGAGGATTCTATTTACAGGAGACAGTCCTGAAGATACTTGGGAACTAAATCATTTAAGCTTTGTAGAATAAAACTAGTACGTTGAATTATAACTGAAAACTTACTGGAAACTAGTACAACACCTGCAAAACAAGTGTATTGCTGTAACAATTCTGACCCACTCACCAGCAGGCCATGTACAATATATTGCAGTTTAACCTCTAACCTAGAGAAGGACATGATTTACCATTGCCAAGAGTTTTTTGGAGGCTATAATAAACCAAATGAATGAATAAATAAATAAATGTTCTCCTGCTACTAATAGAGCTGAGCAAAGGCTCCCCTGACCACAGTCCAGCAGCCATTGATTTGAGCCGGAAGTAGGGAAAGAGCTGGGGCTACTGTTATCACCAGCATCACCTTGGAAATGTCCCTTTCTATTTACTTTTGTTTGCTGATTCTTAAAATTAAAAGCCCAAGACCACTCCAGTCACAGTCGGTCTAGACACATGGCTAAATCTCCTGTTTACTGCCAAAACTGATTAAAGAAGGCAATGCCAGAACAGTAAACAGTATTAGCCCTTATTAGACAACTTCCTGCAGATGCAGGTACTTAGAGCTCTCAGGTGATCTGCCTTTTTAAATGCATTAGTTGCCTACAGCAAACCCTTGTATCCCAACACACAGTTTCAAAATTGTTAAGATAGACCATTGCAGGATTATTTAAATTATTAAATATATTATGGGGTCTGTTTTGTTAGTCCAAAGTTACCGTTGTGAGGACAACACCATTTTTATAAGGAATTTAATATTGTTGCTGTTTCATTGAAATTCAGTTAGAAATGAGAGAAGAAGCCAACTGTGTGTGTGTATAGAGTATTTGGAATTAAAGAAATGTCAGGAATTAAATACTCTAAATTGAAAATGTGCTCATAGCCTTCTGCCTCCCCAGATTGCAGCCTTCTGAAAAAAGCATCTGTTCTCATACTTGGAAATGCATGTCAAAATGTATGGAAAAGTGGTGACTTTAAAAGGAAGCAAAACTTTATTAGCGTTTCCTCCTGACAACTCTGTTAAAGTGGACGCTAACATTAAAAAAATGAAGAAGGTGGAGGAGGGAAAAAATCTGGAATTAAGTACAAATCCTCAGCTGCCAATCCTGGCAAATGTTGTTTCCTGCTGGATTAACAAGCTTTTTGCTAAAGAGAGGGGACACTGAACAGAGGAGAAGTCTTTTGCTGCTCCTTGGATCCAGATTAGAGGACGAGTTTCCTAGATGAAAAGGTCCTTTCTTTGGTATGGAACAAAGCCTGCAGTCCTAGCCATGCTTTGTTGGGAATCACCCTCATTATACTCAGTAAGATGCTTTTGAGGGATAATCACATCTTAAAAGTTGCATCTTGGAATTCTGTTGTATACAATGCATTATTTCCATTTTTTGAACTGTAATTCAGTAGTCAACCCTCAAAAAAGGCTTTGATGATATGAATTCTTTCTTACCTACTGCTCTAATCCACCATTTAGTATTAGACTGCATTCTCTTGTATGTTGTAAACTAGTGTAGCCAAATAATTGAGAAGGGAGGTAACACTGAGGTAAGAGTTACTGGAAAGTTTATATTTATTTTATTTATTAAATTTCTCACCCGCCCATCTCCCCCCCAATGGGGGGAACTCACTTATACACATGGGATGTGTTATGTTCTGTAGGTATTTGAGTGAAGAGCCATGATATTAGAATGGCTTCAAAGCCCTCTTGTAAGATATTATACTGTACATCTCAGCATTTCCTATATTATAGTTCCTACATGCCAGTTTCCCTACAAATGAACCCACACCTGCGCCAGTTGGAAAAATGTGTATTGTTCTGAGCTGAGAATTGTTTCTGGTCACAAAAGAAGGCCAGAAAAAGCAAAAATATCCAGTGTAAAATTATTCTGGGTTAAATATTGGTCCATCCAACCCCAGCTTTGTTTGCTGTAGTGATAACAAGTCTAGAGTGCCTGGTTCTTTCAGCCATTTGGGGCCTTGTAATGAGAAGTGCCAAAGTTTGATTCAGACTCCACATGTCTTCCACTTTCTTGACCATGTGAGCGTTTCTCCACAAACCATCTTTTTCACCTTTATGCCAGTGGGTCACCAGGTCCGTTTCATCTTTGCTGTGCTGCAGTATCTGCTGATTAATTGAGCACTGTTGGTCCGCCAACATGTAGGGGACTACACATACATTACATACTTGCATTGTCAACCTACCTGGGAATGAATCCCTCCAGAGAAATGAAGAATTACTGTATAAGAATATAGGGAATTGGTAAGAGAAGGAGCATCTGCAGATGAGATGAACAGGATATCCTGCCGAGACTGAGAAATGGCAAAATTCACCAAACAACTCGAGACTGCTCCAGAAAAGGAGCCCATATCTGTTTGCATCAGGAAACTAGTTATTAAACGTTCTGCTTCCTACTAAGTTATTTCATGGAAAAAATGCATATTGTATTGACTCCATTTTATATGCTATACATTAGTTTAAGGGCTACTTAGTATACAAATCTGAAATTTTGTAGCTGAGATAAATGAATGCTATTCCTTTTGGAGTCACAAATGTTTGATCAGGTTAGAACTTTGTTCCCCTAAGGTACTGAGGGATTTTATTTTTTATACCATTTATAATCCACCTTTCTGCCCAGAAGGCACTTAAGGCAGCTACTGGTAAAACCTAACAAATATCATCACTTTAACTGAAAAGGTCTAACTAAATAGGCAAGTCTCAACTCATTTCCTGAATGCAGAAAGAGTGGGGACAGTGGCAGCTGTAGCTTGGAACAACACAGGAGAAGATCCTCTCCCATGTATTGAATAAATAGACCTCAGGAATATCAGGAAGATCTCCCCTTTGTGAGGTTAGGGGGAGGATGCCCAGAAGCAAGTCTTTGTTTTTGCTTATATTTAAGCAAAAAATAGTAATAAATATGCATAATGGCAGCCAGGGACAACAACAATCACAATAAGTTAACATCCATCTCACAGGCCCAATTACCAATCTTCTTGGTAATGGTCCCTTTGCTCTGGAATAGCAAGGTTAGGATGGCCCTCTCCCTGCTGGCAAGGCAGAAAGGGATAAAAATTGCTCTCTTCCAGAAAGCCTTTGGAGCAGAAGATGTCATCTAATTGAAGGAACTGCTTGGGGATGGGAGAGTTACATGATGTGGTTTGATACTGATTTTTGGGATTTATTTTTTATTGTAAGCTGGCCAGAATCTGAACAGTAAATGGCATAAACATTAAATAAATAAATTGCAATAATCAGTTCAGGATGTAACATAGATGTTGCTAGGTCTCAACAGCTCAGGAATGGTTGCAGCTAACACGTTCCTTATTACCACGGCCACCTGGAAATCTAGAGATGGCTGAATTGAACTTTCCTTCCCTGTCTGCAGACCTGCTCTTTCAGGGGGAAAGCAACCCCCAGAGCCTAGTTTCTTACTGACAAACAGCACTTTTTTATTTTCTGAATTTAATTTCAGTTTGTTCTTCCTCATCTAGTCCATAACTGAAGTTAGGGAACTTTTTTTCTTTTTGAGTTAGATGGCAAGGAACAGTAGACATCCCCCATCCTCAAACTGTGGTTGCATTTCAGAAGTATATTGAATCCAATACCAGGGCCTCATTTCCTTTGTTTTTAGTTTTATAAATTGAGTTTCTTTGATGTTTTACAAAAATAAAATATAGTAAATGGAGTATAATCATATCTAATGTAGTTATTTTTGTGCAGTGCTACATTCTGCATTGTAATCTATACATGCAGTTTTAACCTCACTACACTGTGGTTAATGACTGTAGTACAATTTAGTGGAATCACCTGCTAGTACACCTGCCTCTACAGATTATTAGAGTATAATATCATTTTGTGTCAATTGCTGCTATTCTGTGGATATGCATTTTCCTGCACCTGCTACTTATAACCTCAGAATTGTGTAAAGGTCTAAGAAATTACCTAGGGAAATTATCTTTATTGCTCACCCGCTCACTCATTGTGTGTTCCTGGATTTGGAATGCAATACAAAGAACACTATGATTCCAGATAAATGTTGTGTAAAATGTTTTCTATAATCTAGATTGTACATTCTTATAAATTATATTCTATTAAGGAATGAAAGTCAAAATTTTATTTAAGCATAGCACTTTAAAGTATAGTATGATTAATGAGAATCCATTTTTAAGCATGAATATGAAAACATTGATTCAGTAGAAAATTATCTACCTTGTTCTGTTTTTATGCTTGGAGCTGCCTGGAGTTGATTGAATTTGGGCAGTGTCCAAGTTGAAACAAAGAAAAGAAAAGAAAAAAATATTGCATGAAAAAGTATTAGAACATTGATTCTCCCAACAGAATGAATGGAAAGGCATAAGGAAAAAGGGTATGGACGTTACTTGGAATGGAATGAACTGAATTATGTTACAACAGAAAATGTGTGGACTTTACTAATGAAAAGTATGAAAAAAGATGTTTAGTTTAATTGTGAAGTGAAAAAAGCTGGGGCTGAGAAAAATTAGAGTATATGAGAATGATTTGCTGCAAAAACTGAGAGCAAGAGACAGATATGTAAAGAGACAGAAGGGTAGTTGTGAAGAAAGAATGTAATTAAAGAGTAAGGAATGATTAAGATTAAAAATAGCAGAATGCAGAATGATTTTGGTGGAATTGTTAAAAATTGTTTTGAAAGTGGGTAGAAAGGAATCAACAAGAAACCTCTAGTGGAATAAATAGAATTAAGAATGTAACTAATGCTGGAAGGAGTATTTTAAAGATTTGTATGGGAATGAAAATACATTGAAGAATGGAATTAAAATAAATGGTAGAAATATTAGTGTCTAAGGAAAAAAATGATAAAAAGGAAATAATACATTTTGAAAAGTATTTAAAAAAAAACCCAGTAAGGTTGCAGGTGTAGCCAACATAACTGAAATGTTAAAATGGGGATGAGTTTGCTTTTGGAGTTAACATGTGTTAAGATTGCATCTGTGCCTGACATTTGGAAGAATAGCATTTTTTTCCTCCTATAGAAAGTGAAAAGTGATGTGAAGTGAAAGGATAGGTTCCGCACAACTTGAAAAGGAATGAACTGCGGCCTGCCCCTCTCTCCATTGCTTTTAAATGGCTCCACTTATCTATACTGATGGCTCTGAAAAAAATAGCAGCAGGAATTTATAGCTGATGAGATCAGATGAAATCTGACTAAAGACACAAGCTTCTTATCAAGAAAACTGGAAGGTTTTTGCTTTAAGCTATAGAAGCTGGAAGCTGAGCAGCCTAGAAGCCAGAATTAAAATAGGAACAGGTTAAATATGCCTGAAGCCACAGCAGCTGAAGCAGATAAAGATAAGGCAAGGTCAAGGCCAGGAAAAGCCCAAGTGGTAACTGGCCTTTGAAGAGGCTTGTAGATGGACTCCGTGTAGAAAACCAACACACAGCCTAGTGAGACAGGCCTGGGAAGTGATCAAGCAGCAGTATGTGATGCTGTGGCTGAAAAAGTCCTGCAGCAGACTGGGCTGGGGTAAGGTAAGAGGCTTGCTGAAGAAGCCCCCATGGCAGTGACCTATCAAAGAGACCCATCAGCAGAGAGCTGGTGCCAGGTTGAAACTGACTTCCTGGGAAAAGGGGTGGGGGGTGGGGGGTGGGAGGATGCACAGATGCAGTTCTTATTATACTCTGTAGACCTAGTTAACATCAAGCTTTTAACCAGCCTGGTAGTCCATAAAGGGGCTACAGCAGTGCTTCTTAACCTTGGCAGCTTGAAGATGTGTAGACTTCAACTCCCAGAATTCCCCAGCCAGCATGGCTGGCTGGGGAAT